GTTACCCCAGTTAAAACTGATGACTGTCCAAATTTTCTTTGGGTCCCTGATAAGTTATTACTGCCCCTTCAAACTTTCTAAAAAGAAATTTCTGTTTTTTTTAAAACTAATGTGTTAGCTACATTGGGGGGGAGGGGGGAAAGCTTGTAGTTAAGCAAAGTTACTAACAACTCTTGTATCTAATTATAATGGGGGTGTGTACACAAGAACAACAAAATGTCAAATGTTAGGACAGTGTGGCATTTTGTGGACTCATTCCAGTAGCAAGAGATTTCTCATTAAACCCAATTCAGCAAGAGAAAAAAACCGAGTGGCTCTCTGGTATGAGAAGTATAGGGAGTGACAAAGTACTGGGGCTAAACCAGCTTGAAGGGAAATTGGCATGAGGTTCTCAGTAGAATTGTGAATACAATCCTGCCCCAGAGATTTGTTACAAAATAAAAAGAAAACTGCAACATTCATTGAGAACCATTCATCTCATACACTGAGAAAGGAAGGTGTCCCACAGAAAACATGGTCTACAATTCTGTAATACAAGATATAGCAAAGTGTATATACACAATAGGGCAGAGTTAAGGGTGTGCTGATAACTTTGCAGATGTAATGTTCTTGTGATGCAGGTTTTTGGGGGGAGGGGCTTGTATGGAAAAATCTCTCTACACTTTTTTTTTTAAAATGTATCTCTGATGATGGTGGGTGAGTAATAGGGGACAAAGAGGAATACTTACGACTCCAACTTTACCATTTTCCCACATCATTTACCGCAAATTAAAACAATACTCTCAGCATATATGTTGGCCGCTCTCCCCCTCCTTAGTATAAAATTAACAACACTAGCTCGGTTTGATGAATAAATTACACCGCAATCCGACCGTCTGTGGCATATATGTAAAGCGGATTGGGATCGGGAAATGTGCGGCCTGCAGGAGGATGGTATGGTTCTTTGACTCACATTGGAAGGATGAATAGGGAAGGTAGAATGGAATTTCCAGTTCATATCAGGAGGGCAGATGGGGTAGTTCAAGCTTTCTGCCTCAGAGGGAATGGGGGATGGCTACTGTTTCTGGATTGTAAAGTGCATGAAGATGAGATGTGTAGTCTCTTGACCACAGACAGAAGCTGGAATGGGGAAAAGGGCCAAGTCTGTATATGGAGGGTAAGAACTGAAGTGTTAATTCCCCAGCCCAAAATGAGAAGATATAATAGAAGACAGCCTGTGAGCAAGTCTATGGGCTACACAGTGGTGATTTGAAAAGCTATGCGGCTCATGTTCAAAATGTCTATAACCCAGTGTGAGTAGGTATAAAAAATTTTCTGTGTTTCATAGGTTGGTGCTGGGCAAGGATTGAAGGGCAGAGTTAAAGTTGGTTTTGGAACATACAGTACAATATTTCATAAGTGCAGATTTATGTAAGTGATTGTTGAAACTGTGGTTATATTTGAATATACATCTATCTCCCCTTAACTACTTATTTCTATACTTCTAAATGCTGTTACTGAATATTTTTAGTTAAACTTTAGCTTCTTTGGCCTACATATGTTTAAACTTTGGTGCCAACTAGCCACTAAGGGTAACAAAGGCTTACACAGCTCCTTCTGTACTCAAAATATCTTAAAGCACTTTACGAAGTCATAAGTTAAACACTGGTAGTACAGTGACTGCAGTAGGCAAATAAAACAGCTATTATGCACTCAGTAGCAGCTCCCAATCCTGCAACATGCTCAGCACTTTGTGGGAGCTGTGCAGCACTCCTATCTCCCACTGAAACAAAAAGAAGTTGAAGGACTCAGTGCCCCAAAGGAGCTGATCAAGCACTAAAAGAAGGAATGTTGCTGAACACACCAGGTTCTTCCCTGAATTCTCTGAGAAGCGCCAAGAGACTTAACATCCATTGCTTTTGGTATGATGCGTAACCAGAGAGTGGATATTAGTGTAATGGAGCTGCATGAGATAAGAAGCTATTCGAAGTATATAAACAAACTCTAAACAAACCACCAAAAAGGTACTTTTAAATATGAGAAAAACATAATTCATACATTTCACACAATTTTAAGCATATGCTTAAGTCCCATTTACTTCAATGAGACTTAAGCACAGGCTTAAATGCTTTGCTATAACAAAGTCACAGACAAAATCCTGCATCAACAAGAAACCAATGGCAAAAATCCCATTGGCTTCAACAGATGAAGGATCATTTCCCAAACATATTGATTCTCCACTGTATTCTGCACTTACCTAATGAGGGGGCATGGGAGAAAAATGTGGGATGGTAGGAATAGGAATCAAAATTAGAGTAAAGAAAAATGTTCCTAAACGCTTTGTGCTTTGTAACTACTTGCCACGTATGAGCTTTTTCTGGGGATTTTAATTATAAAAGCAGACTTGAAAAACAATGTTTCTCTATTCAGACCTTTTTCATTAGCTGTATACAGTTCTTCCTGAATTATATTTTTCAGGTGCCCATGACAAAGACATGTGGAGCAAAAAAACCCATGAAAATTGAACGTATTGAGGAAAAATATGTTTGAAAAGTGCCGAAAATGCCAGATCAGCCACTATGGCTACCAAGTCAGCAGCACATGTATTTTGTGCTGTGAAAATTTCTGTCTAGGTCACAAACTAAAGTTCTTAAAGAAATATATTTATTCAGAATTCTTTTACCATTATGTTAAACTCAAATTCTCTCAACTGCCAATGTTCTTTAAGTTAAGTTTAAGAGAAAAACCCCCTGAAATTCTGCTTTGAATTGAGTCCTTCCTGCATTACTGAAGACCAGCATAAAACATTTACAGACACATATAGTTTGTTTTGTTTCTGAAAAGGAGAACTAGGTTTCTTCACCTCAAGCAACATCCTTTTAAAAGTGACATGAGCCAACTGCTACTGACTTTTTTTTTAGGAGACCTAATGTGACATATTTATAGATTTTTTGAAGCAGTGATAAGCAGAGCAAATACACATAGGTTTGTTTTTCATATGGTGAAGATGAAAAAACCCCTAAGCATACTCCAGATTGATATTGACTACCTAAATAGCGCATCAGCTGGCTCCAGGAAGCACTGCTGTTTTAAGTAAACCACCCTGTGATACTCCAAGATAGGTCTGCTATATTTATGAGACAGTTTCCTGTTTCAGGACGTTATTCAGCAAATTTAAAGCCTTAAATCCATCTACCACAATTGTCTGGGTCCTTCTCAACTCTTCCAAACACTCAAATAACTAATCAACACAGATTCACACCATAACCCCTATCCTATAAAGATTTATGCATATGCCTAATTTTAAGCATGTGAGTAGTCTCACTGAATTTCAGTTTAAGTTAAGTTTTAGAGGAGCAACCGTGTTAGTCTGTATTCGCAAAAAGAAAAGGAGGACTTGTGGCACCTTAGAGACTAACAAATTTATTTGAGCATAAGCTTTCGTGAGCTACAGCTCACTTCATCGGATGCTTATGCTCAAATAAATTTGTTAGTCTCTAAGGTGCCTCTAAGTACTCCAGTTTAAGTTAAATCGGCAGGATCAGGACCTAATTCATGTGAAAGCCTTAATGTCACCAACCCCTGAAATTTAACAAAAAAAAATTTATAGACTTATAGGAAGTTTGTAACCTTCTGAAATATATATGAAGATGTATATATATGTAGATTAGACGGTATCTTGTGGGATCTTTTCAAAGAGGACATAATATTTTAGGATCAGACCTCCATGCATATATTAAATCTTACTGCAATCATCATCAGGCTACCAACCTTATAATCTATGCATGCATTAATTAAGGTGTGAGTATATTATTAGTATACATTCTCTTGTTCACTAGAGTATTTTCTCAGCACACTTATTGAAATTATTTCAGATTTATATTAAGCAAAATAAATCATTATTACCTCACTTGTGATTCCCCTACCTAGAAAATCTCTATTAAACAATCTATGTAAATCAATCTTCTATATAGTGTTACATTTTAATGAAGACTTTTGTCCTTTTACCAGAGTGCAACCGCAAAGGTTGAGATTAGGAAGGATAATTTTCTGCTGTGACTACAAAACTGTGAAATAAAGAGTCAAATTGTTGCTCTCTCCATGTTAGCATGTTTCAAATACCAGGAGGCAAAATTCTGGAAAACACAAATCCTTATACACCTTGAGGTTTTCAATGATCTAGCAGCACTATAGTGTCTATGAGGCACCTAGGGCCTCAACATGAAGGGGTTTGTGTGCTTGTTTCGTTGGAAGTAGCAGTACAAATTGTAACTTGTGTAAGAGTGTTAATGGGGTATTATTCTTGTTCCAGAGCATTGATTTTACTGTCTGACACAGAACAAGGTAGCTAACCACCTAAACAACTTCCTAGAACCAGGTTACAATCCACCGTGTCAACCACAAGGCAACAGCAGAGAGAGATTTTGCACCTGCAAGGATGTCAAATAAACAAACCAGCCTTTGTAACTGAAACAGCAGAACAATTTGCACATTTTCCATCTCCCTTCCCCCGGTTAGCCCGCGCAGGGTTCGGTATCAGTTTGAAAGGCGTGGGGTGGGGAAACTAAGGCTTTGCAGCATTTGATGTCATTACACCACCCCCCCACCTGTTCAAGCCGGATCCACAGCTAGCAATGAAAGGAGTAGGACGGAGCCTCCCCGGCGACATGCAGGGGCCCATGCAACCCCGCTGTTGCGCGCCTTCCCCTTCCCCACCAGCAGCCACCCCAGCCCCCTCCCACAGACACCATCCCTCTTCTCCGCCCCGGCTGCCAGCCCCCCAGTGCCCGGACAGCCCCCTGCTGCCCAACCCTCGGGAGCTGCGGTGCCTGTACAGCTCTCCCGGTGCCACCCGCCCCGAGTCAGGGGGCTGCCCAGCGCCACCGCGTCCGCTGCCTACGAGTCCCTCCCCGCCGGCAGGACCCGGCCCCGGGTCCCTGAAGGAGCAGCCGTCACAGCCCCGCACGGCCCCGGGGGGAGCAGTCCGGCCGGTCCGCAGGGGGCGAGCCGCGCGCACTTGCCTCTGGCCCCGGGGACTCCGCGCTCCAGCCCCGCTGCGCTCCCGCGGTGAGTTCCGGGGCTGCCGGAGCGCCCAGCGCGCCCAGCCGGGGCAGGCTGCCGCCTCCGGCTCGGCTCTGCCGCCCTCTCTCTGCGGGCTGGGCTTCCCCCGCCGGCCCGGCGTGGAGAGGCCGGTCCCGTCCCTGGGCAGCGGCAAAACCCCGCCGTCCTCCTCCTGCTCCGGGCAGGCTGGGTGAAGTTACGCGCCGAGCCGGCCCGGCCTCCCTCCCCTCCAGCCCTGGTGCTCTGCGCGCCTCCCAGACACTGGGCTGCGCCGCCGGCTGAGGCCCCGCCCGGCAGCCTCCCAGGCTCTTCCCCTTCCTCCTCCCCCTGTCTCGCACTGAGCGGCGGGGCTTCATCGCCTCTTCCACTTACCCTTCGCCAGCCCTCAGGGGGAGCGGGGCTGGTTTGCGGAGGCCGGGCTGCGCGAGGCGGGGCAGGGTGTGCCTGCCCCGGCGCCAGCCAGCACGGCCGCAGCTGCGCCCAGACTGGGGGGAGGTTCCGCGAGGTCCCCGCACCTGTGGCCTTGAAGGAAGGAATGTTTGGGGGAGCGCGGGGCACGTTACTGGGAGGAGATACACGCAGCAGGTGCGTGACTTCACAGGATCAAGGCTCCAGTGGCAGGTGTTTAACACAAAACTCTCCTCCCTGCATCACGCAGCGATGTAGAATATGGCACCTCCTCCAGGCTCTTTGTTGTCTCCACCTCTTGGCTCTTACCTTATGCTTAGATTGTAAGCTCTTTGAGGGCAGGGAATTGTCTTTTCCTTCTGTGTTTGTACAGCCACTAGTACAAATACAGGACTCTTAGGTGTCCCAGTCGTACAAATATTGACAAATATAACTGAAAATGCAATGGGATATTTCATGTACTATATGTTAGGCCCTTGGGGTCTGTTCATATTACAGTATGATCTAGCGCAGTGGTACAGAAACTCTTCTAGTCACACTCCCTCCCCCTGTTGTGCCCCATTGCCACCCTTACAGCTGCACGGCTGGTGGTGATGGCACTACCTTCAGAACTGGGCGGCCAGAGAGCAGCGGCTGCTGGGTGGGCTGTTCATGTTGCTTGTGGCACGGTAGGACTGTTTTTTTTTTTAATCCTGCTCTCCTCCTGCCCTGCAATGCTCACTCTATTTTTATTCCGCTCCACCTATTACGGCAGCGGGTCCCACAGGACTCGCAGGATCCCAGTTTCTTTATGCCCCCCAAGAGAAGCTCTTATGTCCCCCCCAGGGGGTACACCCCCCCCCAGTTTGCACACTACTGATTTTAGTGCATTGACAATGGGACTGGAATCCAGGAACTCATGACCCCTGAGACAATGACTCATATTAATGGCTTTGGGGAAGCCATTTAACCTCTCTGTTCACCCATTAGAGCTAGTAATGCAACGAATTGAGGATTAATTAGTGTTTGTGCAACATTAATTAACGTTGGTGTCAAAACCATTATAGACGTGCAACATTATAAAATGCTCACATACAATAATACAAATAGTAAATAATTATTAGTTTATTTTCAGAAGGAAGAACTATACTTCTGCCCATGATTTCATGACCCCCCTGTAAAACCAGATTAAAACTCTATACCTGTGTGAGTGTTTGCTGTATGGGCTATGTTCCCAAACTAGAGAAGTTCAGGAGCCATTCTAGATTTCTTTCATTCCCAAAGCAAGGGAATGTCCCTCAAAATTAATAGCATACGTATATTCTGAGGTGATACCTTCAAAGAAAGCTACTTTTTGTGGGAAGAGTATTCAGCCAAGAGGTACACCCTGAAGCATAATGAGCTCAAGCAAAGCTGGGGCTCATAGAAAAGTCATTCAGGTGAGCCCTATCCACTCTTACAAGGCCCAAATTCCACCCATAAACTTCTCCACCACATCCTTCACCTATCTCAAATGATTCTGCTATACCACATAGGGGTATCCATTTGGGAGACAGAGAAGGCACTGGAGGAAGCAAAAAGGCAATGCCCAGAATGATGCATGTATGAAGGAAGTTAAAGAAACAATGTATGAAGATTTCCTATTGAATAGGATCCGTGGGGTGGGAGGAGCTTGCACCAACCAGTGCTGTGATCAAGGAAACATCTTGATTACTTAGGGGGCTCAGCTTATCACGACAAAATGAGATATTGTGTCATGTCACTGGAGCATGAACAATGAATGCTATACTACCCTTTGAGCCCATCTCTGATGGGGTAAGCAACCATAATTCAGGAAGCTCTAGGAAGAAGATCCCTCTCGGGAGGTTTGGGTCCATTTTTATTCCTTGTTGAATGGACCCATACTCAGCCCGCACAGACTAGATAATGATATCTTAGTATTTACTACTGTAAATTAGTGACATCAGATATGCTGACTCATGTATGTGGAATTACAGAAAGTGCAAAGGTAACTATTACAAAGTATGTTTGTGTTGAAGACCTTGTATCATTTCAAAGTCCTGCTTTCATTTCTGGTTGTTCCTTTCATTTGGGTCTTTATCTTCAGTAACGCTCACAGTGACAGGTAAGAGAGAGAAGTGCAGCCTAGGTTTATCCAGTGGACTAGATATCCAGTTCAAAGACGGTTGCTTCCTTAGGTCAGTCTAGGAAGATAGGTGGCAGGGACAGCTATTGGCGCTAGCTTCTGGGCCTCTTGGCTCCCCTTGTTTCCTATAGAGGCAGTGAGGCCTACCGTGCTTCTCCTGTTCGTAATACCACTGTCCTCAAAACACCATGGAGAGGAAGAAGAGCTGCCAGCTGCTTGCCCTGCACCCCTCCTTTTGCAGTCCCCTCAGAGTGGCGAATTTGCTTCATATTCCACTAGAAGTCTGCAGTATTACCAACACCAAGCATTCAAAAATCACGAGTCAAATCACCAAAACATCATCATGAGACTAGGTTAAAGAAATAATTTTACATAACTTATTTTCTTTGTGAGCCACTAGGATGCACTCACTCCACATTTACAAGCTTTACTCCCCAACAGAAGGCTAGGATATTACTTTGTTTAAATAAAGCTGAGATGAATGCAGTCTTTTTATTCCAGTAACTGGTGCTGTAAAAAAACCCCGCCACCCATGATCAAAAGAACTCTTGATAACATCGTAGGAGACTGGGACAAGGGAAGCAGGGCAGACAACTCTTCCTGCTTGTGGCGCTCTAGAGAATCATCCTGTAGTAGGAGGAAGAAACTGATGTGATCCTGCCTGCCTCAGCAAGAGTGAGGGGGAGCTCAGGCATCTGGAGGATGCCTTTCACCCCCACATGGCTGCATTGTTTGCAGGGATTAACAGTGCTTAGGATCCCTTTTCCCAGAAAGCAGGGGATAGTAGGAGTGAAGCCCCTTCCTTTCCACCCCATTAATGCAGCATTTGGGTAGGTATCCTCCATTCAGGGAGCCCTGGAGTGACATCCCATTCCTCACAGGAACAGCCATGATGTTGCTTTTTGCTGATACCAGTGAAAATCCTAGGGCACTCTCTTTCAGGAGGCAGGGGTGCTATTCTTAGTTTGGCACAAGAGGCTCTAAACCCCTGAAAAAAATTTTAATGTTTAAAAAGTTATTCTATAGTGCATTTCCATGCCAGATTTCACCCTTCAACACTCAGCTATATGACTCTTCCCAAAGCCTTTTTATTTTTAAATAATGGAAAATTATTTTACCTCACTTGCCTCATACTAAAAAATATCTGAACCATTTCCCCTCAAACTTTCCAAAATATTAACCTGTATGTGTGCTATGTTAATTTTATGTCATTCTAATGTTTAATCAAAGTGTTGTGCAGTACTAAGTCAAATGTTTTACAGAAATCTAAGTATATTACATCAACACTATTACCTTTATCAACCAAACTTGTAATCTCATCAAAAACAGATATCTAGTTTGAGATGATCTATTTCCCATTAATTCATGGTGGGGTGAACCAGGCCCTCAGGCCCCCTGCTGGAGGACTCGCAGCCCTGCCACCCCAACCCTAGAAAAGGGCAGTGGAGAGGTTTCTGTGGGACACAGAAAATTGGAAAGGGGCTGCAGAGAACAGCCAATCAGGGCCTAGCAGACTAGTATAAGACAAGCTGTAGGGCCAGCATGAGATCAGTTGCTGCTGGGAGCTGGAAGAGAGAGAATTGTGTTCCTGGCTGGCTGAAAGAGCAGAAGGACCATGGATAGCTCAGTACTGGCAGGGACTGGGGGAGCGAGAAGGAGCTCTTTTCTGACTGCTGGTCCTGAGTAAAGACTGAGCCCTGGGAGGGCTTCAGGAAGATAGCATCCCCAGGAAGGAGGCCCTGGGAATATGACCCCATACCAGGGCCAGAACTAGTTAAAGGGCCTGAGACCAGGGAGGGCTACAGGGAAAGAAAGGAAAACCACAGGGTACTGAGTTAGGCCCCCCTGTCAGACTGTTTCCCTGGAAGGGGTTTTTATTTCACATACAGACTGTGTGTGACTAAGTTGGAGGACTGAGTCACTTGAAGGCCCTCCACAAACCAAGAGAGTGTGCAGGCACATGTCCTTAGAAAGTCTAAGGTGTGTGTGTGAGACCCCATTACACCCTCCTTTAATTCTTTATTAGTCATGTCCTATGTCAGCCACTCCGTTATCTTGCCAGGGATCACTGTCAGGGTGACAGCCATATAATTACCCAACTCATCCCCTTTACACTCTTTAAAACTGACACAACATTAGCTTTCTTCCAGTCTTCTGGAACTTTCTCAGTGTTCCAAGACTAATTGAAAATCAACATTGAGTCCAGCAAGTTCTTCAGCCTGCTCTTTTAAACTCTTGGATGCAAATTGCCTGGACCTGCTTATTTTAAAATGTCTAATGCTAGTAGCTTCTGTTTAACATCCTCCAGACATACTAGTGGAAGGGAAAGAGTTATCAAATTGTAAGACTGCATCTTCTGTTTCTACATCTCCCCCAGTACAGAATAGAAATATTTAACACTTCTGCCTTTTCTTCATTATTATTGAGAATTCTACCATTGCCATCTATTAATGGACCAATACCATTGTCAGGATTCTTTTTGTTGCTAATATATTTTTAAAACTCCTTATTTGTCCTTAACTCTGCTGGCCATAGATTTCTCCTTGTGTCCCTTGGCTTACCTGATCAGTTTTCTACAGTTCCTAACTTCTAGGGACGTGATCATTCCCCTCTATTCGACATTGGTGAGGCCTCATCTGGAGTACTGTGTCCAGTTTTGGGCCGCACACTACAAGAAGGATGTGGAAAAATTGGAGAGAGTCCAGCGGAGGGCAA